CATGACTTTAAAAAAGTCCAGAAAAACTACTAATCTTCTTATAACTAAAAACTTCCATTCTACTGCTAGTCTGCTTACAATCAGACTATAAACAAGTAGTCAATAAATAAAAGGCAAAACCATGAAGTTATCCCAAGACCTTGAGAACATTCCAACATTATATGCAACTCATAAAAATCATTAAGATAGTAAAAACATTTTTCTGTGTCCCACGTTTCTTACAATTATCTTACAAAACGTCCTACTAAAAATCCTACTTACGACTAGAAACCATGGACCGAAATGATTATTACGCAGCCATGTTTACCGTATCGATTACACTGTCCGACAAAATCAAACTTTCTTTTTGATTTCCTATAGCCACTCTAAAATCATCGACAAAAATGAGGTATTGCATGAAAAGTACAAACGTTAGAAAGTTCTAATCGGTGTTAAAAGATAGAGGAAAGTTTTCCGAATATAGTGGCATACAATTTATTAATTGTTTTTGGTCCTAAATAACTATAAATTAATGTCAGTTTAAAACAGTGTCGACGTGCGCAGTTTCTCCGCAATATTTTTGTATTTTTACGAGAAGTTCTTTGTTCAGCACGAAAACTCTAACCAAGATCGGATTCTGTAAACATTTTTAAAGAAAAAACGGCCCGATAGAAGCGTCGGAACAATGTACATTTTGAGTAGGTCGAGAAAATGTTCGTCGGTAACATGTACGCGATGTTTTGCCGCCATGTGCTTCGCTGCTCGCTTTTCTTTGTCCGACAAGGCCGAAGCTGGGTGCCCCATTCGATCCCTCCATCGGTGTTGATTACGCATAGTTTCGGCCCTGTCGGACAGAGAGAAGCGAGCAGCGAAGGATATGGCGGCAAAACGTCGTGTACATGTTGCCGTCGAACATTTTCTCGATCTACTCGAAACGTATATCGTTTTGACACTTTTACCGGGCCGTTTCTTCTTCAGAAATGTCTACAGAATCCGATCCTGAGTAGAGTTTTTGTGCAGGACAAACAACTTTTCGTAAAAGTACAAAAATATTGCGCAGAAACTGTGCACGTCGACATTTTTTTAAACTTTGACATTAATTTATTGCTACTTAAGACCAAAAACAATTAATAAATTGCACGCTACTATATTCCGGAAACTCTCTTCTATCTTTTAACACCAATTAGAACTTTCTAACGTTTTTACTTTTCATGCAATACCTCATTTTTGTCGAAAATTTTGGGTTTTTACAAAAGCTCGTTTTTTTCGAAAAATGAGGGTGATGGAGCAATTCGGTTTTCGGATCCTTGATCGAGGAGTGAAGCTCTACAAGAATTTCATACTAGCTGTAAGAAATCAAAAATCGTGTCGGACAGTGTTATAAGCGACGCTCGCGGTTAAAAAGATGCGTGACGTCCTTTTGTCATCTGACGGAATCCCATTGTTCCCGTTGCAGTTTCAAGCAGCGCTGCTACAACGATGGGATCTGCCCCATTTCCTGTGTGCCTTTTGTCCCTATGTGAAGACCCTCTCTGTCAGCGTTTCGGTGTTCACGCTGACAGCGATCGCGATCGATCGTCACCGATCGATCCTCCAGCCACTCAAGTGCGTTTCGATCTCATTAATCTTTTTTTCATCGCGGCCCACACGATCCTTTCGAAAAACAATGATTCTGACCCGCAGGCCGAAGCCGAGCAAACGAACTGCCAAAATCGTGATCATCGGGATCTGGGTGATCGGTGCGATCCTGTCGATACCGATGGCGATTGCGCTCGAGGTCCGCATGGTATCGGAGGACCCCGACGATGGTTCGTGTCCCCTCCCCCTGACGGCTCGCCGAATTTTTTTCAGCGACCCTTGGCGCCGAGCTGACGTCGCCTTTTGTAATTCCAGCGAACTCCACTCACAGGAAACCGTTCTGCGGCCGCGTGAACTTGTCCATGAAGACGATGTTCATCTACCAAGGACTCTTGCTGGTGATCCTGCGGTATTTGATACCGTTGATAGTGATCTCCTGCGTGTACGCGAGGATGGTGGTGAAATTGTGGAGCAACAGAGCGCCCGGGAATGCGGAGGACTCCCGCGACGCGAATCTGATGAGGAACAAGATGAGGGTGGGACGATCTTTCATTCGATTATTTTAACGATTTTCATTATTTTAAATTTCTCAGATCGATTGCTTCAACGCAATTTATCGCTTTGGACGAAATACAATGATCGACGAACTATAGAGAAATCTTTAATAAAAGTTGGCCAACTTTGATTGGCGATAACTCCGCGAAAAATCATCGAAGGATCATGACTCTTTTTTTAAATCGAAGCTTGAAACTTCTACTTTAAGACACCGTTTCTCGATTTTATGCATCGCGCACCCTTCGCCTTGCGGTAAACATTTAAATGTGATCGTCGAAAAACCACCCCCTGAGGCCACGTCGAAAGTTGCCAAGTTTGACGAAAAGCGGGGACTTTGAAAAATGTTATCCGACGATGCCGTTCGCATCCGAACGAAGCTCGATCCTTTCCCTTCAATTTGAAAAAAGAGAATCGCGCGTGCGATTTTTGTTCGCGAAGTTACAGCACTTTAAAGTACCATCCGATAACGCCAATGCCGGCGGTACGTGACAGAAATGCAGGGTCGGCTATAAAGTGCTGTAACTCCGCGGGAAAAAATCGCAGCTACGTTCACATTTTTTTAAATTAGAGAGCAAGAACGGAGCTTCTTTTGGCTGGGTACGGCGTCTCTGAGAAAAATTTTACAACGACCGTGCATTTCGTCGAACTTAACAATTATCAATGTGGCCTCGCGGAAAGGGGTGGTTTTTCTATGGTCACATTTAAATAGTTACCGCAGTGGGGGTGCACGATACGTAAAATCGAGAAAGGGTGTCCGAAAGTAGATGTTTCAAGCTTTAATTTAAAGGCAGAGTCGTTATCTTACGATGATTTTTCGCGGAGTTATCGTCGGTCGAAGTTGGCCAATTTTTCTCCAAACTTTCTCGGCGCTGTAATTTCTGTTTCTTATAAATTCGAAGGTTTTTGATATTTTTGCGCGTAAAGATGATGCACTAAATATCGTTCCAGGTGATTAAAATGTTCATCATCGTCGTCGCAGTTTTCGCACTTTGCTGGCTGCCCCTTCAAACGTACGAGTTTCTCCAATATTGCTATCCGATCAACCAGTGAGTATCGCGCGACAAAAACGAACGACAACAAAAATAAACTGCGATCGCACGATGATGAAAAATTCATGTTTCAGCTACGAGTACATTAATTACATATATTTCATCTGCGACTGGTTGGCTATGTCGAACAGTTGCTACAATCCGCTCATCTACGGGATATATAACGTACGTAAAAACCGACAGGTTAATTGCAATTTAAAACCGAAAAATAATATTTCGTAGTTGCGATACTTGTTACATGGTGTCCCAAAATTATGGTACGTCCGTAAACTGAGGGGTTCCTGAGATCATTTGAAGCAACTTTTTCCTTAGTGAAAATGTTCTACGTGGCTTCGTTCACGAGTTATCGGCATAAAACGCGGACCAATTGGAGAGCGAGGGCAGAGCGATGTCGAGTGGGGGCGTGGCGCCGTACGTTTTTCGTTAATAACTCGTAAACGAAGTCTCGTAGGATATTTTCGCTAAGAAAAAGGTTGCTTCAAATCACCTCAGGAACCCTTCGATCCCCGGAAGAAACATAATTTTGCGACAGCCTGTAGTATTCGGCGTTATTACAGTAAATTCTCCTTAATTGACGCACGGATTGTGCACAAAAATAGACAATTTGAAAAAAAAATCTTTTAATCTACAAAAAAAAATTTTTAATCAAGGATCTAAATAAAAAAAAATCGAGGAAAATCCAGTTAGAATGACCGAGGCTCTACTGCGCTTCGAATTGCAATGAATGCAGAATCTTGTCGGGCGGAAAAATGCAGTTTAGCGCGTAAAATTGGCCACATGAGAAACCACGCTTAAGACGTAGAATTTATCGCGGGGAAAATAATAGTTCGAGACTGTAAAGTTTGTCGTGTGGAAAATGATATTCGGCATATAAAGTTCGCCACGTGAGAATCGGACTTACATGGGGAACTGTAAACGTTTATGTACATCGTGTTCATGACTGTTCGATGAAATCTTCCTTTTCCAGGGGAAATTCAGAAGGGAGTTCCAGCAGAGGTGTCCCATCAAATCACGGAAATGGTCATCGACCACCCCGAACGATAACACAGAGCTGGATAAAACGCAAAGTAGTCGAGCTTCTATTAGGTACTCTTCCTAACAACCATGTAGCTCTAGTGACTACTAAATTAATTGCTAATACTGTTCT